AAGGGGCTCCTCTCTCCATTGACAGATGCACACAGAGAAACCTGGACGTTGCTGGAACTGACCCCAAACTGTGGGCTCTTCCTAGTTTTTCACACAACCTCAGAGGACACTCCATCTAGTCTAGCCCTAGAAAAGGAGAAGAGCACTCATGCCAGGGTCAGTGGAGATGGCCAGAAGCTCGAACTGTTCATACGGGTGAAAATTCCTGTGAAGGATGGTACATTCCAGATTCAAGGCAGACCCAGAATATAGTGTCAGCCACAGGTATTGAGGTGGGGGCGAGGACTTTAAGGTGGGTGGAATTCATATGGGTAGATACAACGTACCTGGAGGCAGACAGACAGTAGTGATCACAGAAGTCAGGTCAGATAAAGGAACATTCATCCCTGATCCCCAGGGACCCTCAGACTAAAGAGAACAAACTTCAAGAACTCTGGAGAACCAGGTAGAGCACATAATGGAACCAATTCTTCTGGCCTATGTCAGGCCTTCCCACCCCATCACCATCCTCCATCAGGGTGGGATAATATGAACTCTGGCTGTTTCCAGCTCTGCCCCCTAATCATTTGGCCCCTTAGACCAGGTTTCCACTTCAGTATAATGCAGGTGTCATGTGGACTGGTCTCCTGTAGCCCTAACACTTGCCATTCCAGAACTGGGAAATGAGCTACAATACATGAAGCATGAGGAAAGCACACAAAGCTCTGGGAACTCAAAAGTCTTCCAAGGGACTGCGCTTTCACCAGCACTCTAGATTTGCTTCTCATTATTTTTGATCTAGTATAAAATTAAAACAAAATTGTTCCAGGAATATCCTAGGCAGCAGAGGGAAAACAAGCCCAGAATGAAAACCACCCCAGGACAAGTAGGCTTACATGGTTGAGAGCTCACCGCAGGGTCAAAGGTATTTCACCTGGTTCCAAAAAAGGAGGAGCTGAGAGTTCTGAACACTGGAGCTAAGTGTTCCTGCCTTCCTCTCTCTTGCCCTGTTCATGCTCACCCTCCATTCTCCTCAGCTTTGAGGCCTTTTCTGACCACTCTAGCCCCTGAATTTCTTGCCACCCATAAATTCCCTAACTGAATCTGTACCACAGAACTTGTCTTTGTTTTCTAATTACTTCATGCATGTTAGCTGTTTTCCCGTATAGACCCGAAGTCTCTTGAATATACTCTTTGTTTCATAATTTTCCACAGGGTTATATGGAGAGTAGGTCCATAATTAATGTTTGTTGGCTGACGTATAGGTCATTCCATAGGCAGAGAGGACACTACTTAGTACGTAAGTTAATAGCTATTCTTTCTTTTGTGCCTATTTATGTTCATATTCATTTAATTTTTATAACCACCCTCATTGTCAGATGAGGAAACTGAAGTCACTCACGTGCCCACAAAAATGTAGCCAGTCAGTGACCAGGATGGCTCTGAACCCAAGTTTAACACCAAAGATCACATTCTACCTTTGTACTGCTTCCTCCTGCTATAAAATCTGAAGGAAAGCAACTCTCCACGAGAAACCTCAACCTCCAAAAATAAAAAAGATAAACAGCATTCAAAACTATGAAAGCTCAAACTCATAGGTGTTTGGTTCCCAAAAGATTGAGAAGTAACTCATAAGGTCCTGCATTAACAAATTAGCATCAGATGGCGGAGGGGGGGGCGGAGGGCGGGTGGGGAAAGGAAATCCTCTCTTCATTCAGCTTCTTTTGTCTCCGGAGGGCTGTGCACTCAGAAACCGAGAATAGGAGAGAAGAGAAAGGGGGACAGAAGTACCAACAGTGGGGGGATGAGGACAATGGGAAATTTGAGAAGCCGGATCTACACAAAAATTTCCCCAGCTCCCAAATGGAGTGCCCATTGTGAGCATTCACCCTCAGACACCAAGGGACAGTGAAGAGAAGGGCAATAAAAAGAAGGTGGTGTGAGCATCTGGAAATCCATGCCACCAGCTGTAAACAGGGAGCAATTCTTACTGGCCCTCCTCCTGGCCCAGCCCCACTGGGCCTTGCTGTCACTGTCCATTTAACAAGAGCTGCAACTCTGGTACATCAGGTGCATACAGCAAGGCAGTTGGCCTATAGAGACAAACACATAGGTCTACCCACCTTGAGATTGTAAGGAAAATTGCATTTGCTCAACTCGTTGGCTTAAAACAAACAGAAAAGAATGACGCCAAAACTCAAGAGACAGAGAATTCATCTGCAGAAAGGAACAGGTGGTGGAGGTGAGTGACTCACATAGCAGACCCCAGACCAGCACATTCACCTTTCTGTGATTGTGGGGCAGGAGGGTAGAGGAATGACGGGACAGGGCAGAGTCACATGGCACTGAGTCTATCCCAGTGACATCTGTGATGTCCTCACTCTGGATTACTGGCTGATGGTTCCTTGATTCTGAGCCCACCTGCCACCCAAGTGTCCACCTGTATGTTTCCCATGCAAATGGTCTTACCTTGGGTCCTCCGGGTACACCTTCTGTTGGTCAGAGGAAATGACTCAATAGTCAAGTTGGGAGAGGACAATGACTTCTGTTGGGAAAGGTTACTTTCTAAGGGTTGTTCTATAATGTCACTATATTTACAGAAAGGACAGGACAGGAAGCTTACAAGAACGAACAATTTTCCCACCTGTGTGTGTTGGTTTGAATTGGGGGAAGGGCAGTTAGGCTTTCAAGTGGCCTTGTTGTGTATATGCAGAATACTGAGAAATGTTGTTCTCGTAAAGATATTAAATAAGACTCCACATGTTCATAGAGTCTCTGAACACTTATCCACAGGCCAGGCTGCATTCTCAAATTGCCACCTCCTGACCTACTTTAAAGACGAAGAGCCAGTAAATCAACTAGTTCTGTTTCACAGACTCTAGACTCATATTTTGGGGGGGAAAGCAAGGTGTCATTCTTGTAGGCACTGACTCCAGAGCATTCACAATCCATTCGTCTGAGACTGGCGAAGATCTCCCCAGCCAGATCGAGACTCCTCCCTCACTTTTGGCACTGCATGGGCCTCTCTTCCCTCAGCACCATCTGGGGCCAGGCTCCTTTTCTGAGGAGCTTCCCAGCAGAATACCCTGCAACTGCTAGCCAGGGGCTCCTGCATTGTAGTGACTGCACCTGTCTAAGCTTCAGGCAGCAAGTGGGTTCACCTGACCTTACCAATAAGACCAAAACTTCCCAAGGGCCTAGTCTGCTTTGTATATGTCCCCCAAGATCTGGCCCCTGAGGAAAGTCTCCTGATAGAGGGTTGGCAAACCACATACCAAAAAATATATATATATATTTTATATGTGTATATATATATATACACATACATACATACATACACACACACTACTCCAAGGTCCCTGCTACCTTTCTTCTCAGGTAGCCAGTTACTACACAAAAGAAACCAAATGCACAAATCCTTCACCACTGTGTAGTGGTTCTCCAAGATAGTGTTGAGGACCAGCATCCTTTTGTATCATCAGTGAATTGAGGGCAGACATACACACCCTGATGAAAAGGCTTTGTGCAAGTCCCCAGAGTATCCATTACCCAATCCAGCATCCAGTGTCCAGCCACACCCCACCCAAGGTCAACTTCACTCTGGGCACGGGAAAGAACATTCCACAATGGTCTAGGAAACTGTGGTGCCAGTAGCATCACCCTCCACAGTCCCTGATGTCTGCAGGGCAGAAAAAAAATTAAAACAGGAACAGAAGACAGAAGGGAAAATCAAGAATTTAAGAGAAAAGAAGGGAGATAGAGGGGAAGAGAGAAAGAAAGTGAGAAAAACAAAAATGATTTTACTAGAACCTGAAATGCCTTTTAGGAACCCAATAAGGTTGCCATAAGCACCTACATTTCCCATCCAGAGACTTGAATTGTGACTATTGGATGCTTTGAAGTGTGATGAGTTCCCCAAATGGTCCTCTGAAGCCTCCCCATTTGGAAATAATTTTGTGCATTTTGATTAAAAGGATTGCATTAAGTCAGAGAAGAACCTACAGCCCCACTAGGAACGGGGAGGAAGCTCCAGGCCAGGCTCCCAAAGACTGAGGAGGTGGGAACATTGCACACACTCTGATCTTGCTCAGAAGTATGGTGAAAACCAGTGGCCTGAGGTCTGACATTAAGCCCACCGTCCAGGTGTATTCTCACCTTGATCCAGCTCTCTAGAGGGGATAAACTTACTTTTATCCCCTCTAGGCCCCAAAGGAGTTGGGCCTTTCTCCTTCAGGTTATGATATAGAGGGTGTGTTCCCCTCTCCAACCACAACAATCCTAGAAAACCTCTCCCCAGCAGCCCATCTTGGTATCTACAATGTCACTCGTAAATTCAGTCCTTTGACTCTTGAAAGATTGATAGTAGCACAAGTTCCAGGGAGGAATTCTACCTCAACCACTGACAGCAACACCTGGAACTTAGTTTATCCAAAACTTTCCAACGGTAATGATCTGCAAGCAAGGGTCCTTCAACCATGGAACCCCAGTTGAAGAGAAGGAGGCAGAGCAGGCGAGGGGTTTGAGGCGCAGGGAGTGAGAGCAACTCCCGACGCTCCCAGCTCCGCCTGAGACCACGCCAGCGCCTTCACCGCCCTACCTTCCCGGTCTCACGTTTGGGCTGAGAGGGCCTTCACGTGGCGCCCCCGCCCCCACGGCAGCCGTCACCGAGTCCTCTTGCCAGGGGCTGGGGAACTGGGAGAAAAGCCCATCTCTTTTACTTAAGGGCTAGCGGCAATTCGCACTCCTCAAATCAAAGGTACGTCCTTCGATGGCTCAAATAGAGACAACCGCATCACAGTCCCCCGGCACCTCACCTCCCAAAAGGAAACCCCGGCTGCCTGGAGTCGTGGGGTCGTCCCCTTACGCGCCCCCTACCCCAACTCTTCGCCACACGTAGGATGCCCTCTCCAAGAGAGGAGTCAGGGGCAGGCTTCCAAGGGAGGGTCCCGACCCCCGATCCTCGAGTTCCCACCCTCGGAGGGCCGGCGCCGGGACAAAAGCGTGGGGGCGGGCTCACTCACCCGCGCGGCGAAGGCGGCGGGGGAGCTGAGGCACCGCGCTAGGCGGGAGAGCCCCAGCCGCGAGCGCGCAGCGCAGGCTCAGCACTTGCTTCGCCGCCGGCTGCCGACCCGGCGGTGCGGGGAACCGGTGAGGCGCGTCCGGGACCGAACGGAGCCGAGTGGGGGTGAGCGGCCCGGCGAGAGAGTGAGCAAGTGTGAGTCCGGATCGAACGCGCGTAAAGGCAAGCGACTGAGAGCGCGGCGCTCCACGTCCGGACTCAAACTGCGGACGCCGGCTCACACGCGCTGATTTGCATGTCATTTGCATAGCGCTCAGGGAATGGACCTGCGGCCCTTTCCGCCACGCCCACCCGCGCTCCTCCCCGGAGTCCCAGTCTGAGAATCCAGAGCAGAACCCGGCCCCTGAGGAGGATTCATCTAGCCCGTCGCATGCGCCGCCCCAACTCCTCACACACCGGACTAGTGACAGAGTGTTTTCTCGATTTTTTATTTTTATTTTTAATTTTTTTTTTCCTCCTGGAAGACCACTCCATACAGGACGAAAGAGGAACGCGCACTAAGAAAACTCTGTAGACTTTTAAATTAAGTTTTTTATTTGATGTGGCTATCAAAAACAACGAATAATCGAGTAGATTCCCCAAATAAATACAGTATAATTTTGTTTTGGGGTAAAGTATCGTGAAAAACTTGTTTACTTTCAAAATTAGTAACATGTGCAATTTTGTTCAGAAAATGAAGAAATACAGAATTGTGTAGGCAATTGAGAATACTACTCGTCACTTTCTAGGAGTAAAACGTTAGGCAGGTTGCTGATCTCTGTTACTCCATTTTCTCATGTCTAAAATGGGGGAAATCTAAGTGACCCATAGAAATGTGAGGTTTCAGTGAAATGTGGCAGGTAAAGCTCTTAGGACGATTCCTAATATAGTTATTATTAATGCTTAAACGTGCAAATATGACCTACGTCTACTTAGCCAAGAGGCAGTCAGATCAAGGTGAGGCAAGAAGCAGGGAGAAGGGGTGAAGAGGCTATAGAAAGCAGAGAAAGAATGCCCAAAGAATAGAGACAGTCTCTGGAGAGCTCAGACCAGAGTTTCCCACTCACCTCCGCTGTCAGGCTAACCAGATCCAGGGCTGATGAAATCTCCTACTCTTGCAGTTCTATCAGCTTTTGCTTCATGTATTTTGTCTCTCTGTTGTTAGGAGCATACATGTTAAGGATTGTTATGACTTCTTGAAGAACTGACTCCTTCATTATGCAATGCCCTCCTTATCCTTGATAACTTATATTGCTCTGAAGTCTGCTCTTTCTGAAATATTAATATAACTACTTTTCTGGTTAGTATTAGCATAGTATATCTTTCTCCAACCGTTTACTTTGAATTTATGTCTTTATAGTTAAAGTGAGTTTCTTGTAGACAACATATAATTGGGTCTTGTTTTTTGGTCTACTCTGACAATCTCTGTCAAATTTGGTGCATTTAGACCACTGATGTTCAAAGTGATTGTTGATATAGTTGGATTAATAGCTACCATATTTGTTACTGTTTTCTAATTTTTGCCCTGGTTCTTTTCTCTAATATTCACTGTCAGAATCAAGTTGAGCTACTGGAGGTAAAACACAAAAGTGTCGGCTCCTCCTCATCTTATATGTCTGGGTCCCCCTGAAGTTTTCAACTGTCAGACTTGTTCACACTGAGCTTCCATAAATTCATTTATTATAGTTCAGATTTTTTTCTATCCCGGCACTGGTTCCTGTGGGGATTTCTGCTCCCGTAAATTGTGATCCTCTGTATCCACCTGTCTCTCCAATATTGGAAGTACAGTTAACCTGTGAGATTCTTCTCTTACAGATCTAAGAGTTGTTGATTTTTTTGTTGTTGTCGTTCAGTGTTTTACTTGTTAGGATGGAGATTTCCAAACTTCTTACATGCCAGACTAGAAATTGAAAGTGTCTCATCAACATTCTAAATTTTCTAGGTTTTTAATAATAGCCATCTTAGCAGGTGTGAAGTATATCCAATTGTGGTTTTGGTTTGCGTTTCCCTGACGACTAATGATGTTGAACATCATTTCATGTGTTTATTGACTGTTGGTATATCCTTTTTGGAGAAATGTCTTTGAACTCTTTTGCCCACTTTTAAAATGGATTACTGGGTAGTTTTTGGTCATTGAGTTGTAGGGGTTCTTTATATATTCTGGATATTAATCCTTTGTCAGATATATGATTTGCAAATATTTTCTCCCATTCCTTGGATCACTTTTTCACTCTGTTGATGTGCCCTTTGATGCACGAAAGTTTTAAATTTTGATGAGATTCAGTTTATCTGTTTTCTTTTGTTGCCTGTGCTATTAGTATTGTACTTAAACTATTGCCAAATCCAAAGTCATAAAGATTTTCTTCTATATTCTTCTAAGGGTTTTATAGCTTTTACTCTTACTTTTAGGTCTGTAGTCCATTTTGAGTTAATTTTTGTATGTGGTGTAAGGTAAGAGTCCAACTTCATTCTTTTGCATGTGGTATCTAATTTTCCCACTAACAATTTGTTGAAAAGACTGTCTTTTCCCCCATTGAATTGTCTTGGCACCCTTGTCAACAATCAATTAACCATATATAAAAGGGTTAATTTCTGAACCATCTATTCTATTCCTTTAATCTATATGTCTGATCTTATGCCAGTATCATGCTATTTGATTATTGTAGTTTTGTACTTAGGAAGTTTTGAAATTAAAAAGTATGAGACCTCCAACTTTGTTCTTTTTTTTAAATATTGTTTTGGCTCGTTTAGTAGTGGGGAGTCCCTTGAAATTTCATTTGAATTTTAGAGTGTTATTTTTCTATTTCTGCAAAAACCAGCATTGGGATTTTGATAGGGGTTGCCTTGAACCTATAGATTGATTTGGGTAGTGTTATTATCTTAACAATATTAAATCTTCTAGTCTACAAATGTAGTACGTCTTCCCATTTATTTAGGTCTTCTTTAATTTCTTTTAGCAGTGTTTTGTAGTTTTCAGTGTACAAGTCTTTCACCTCCTTGGTTAAATTTACTTCAAAGTACTTTATTCTTTTGATGCTATCGAAAATGGAATTGTTTTCTTAATTTCCTTTTCAAATTGTTCATTGCATGTGTATAGAAATACAACTGATCTTTTGTTTCTTGATTTTGTATTCTGCCCTATGACATCAATTTTATTTCACTTCCAAAATTTCTCTTTAGTGTGGAGTCCTGTCCTCTAAGGAAGCCCTGGCTGGTCAGTTTCAAGAGCTGATGCGGACTAGACTGCACCAGTCCTTCCAAACTCTGGCTAGTGATTAGAGATCAAGAGAGTTTGCACAAAGTTCTAGGAAATATATCAATTAACCTGAAAAATATCACAGTCCAAACACACAAACCCAGCACATGTTGTCTGGTTTGTCAAGATAAATAAATGTGACAAAAATTTGTCTGTTTGTTCCCTTAGACATCCTGAAATAATGTGATTTAGCTCCATTGTCCCAAAGCAAGACCCTAGTTGTAGAAAATATTCCTTTGCTTTGTGGGATGGAGGTTGCCTGTTTATATTTACTGCCTTCCTAGGAAGTTTAATCTGCAAGCCCTGGCCTCCATCTATCTGTGTACATCCTCTGCATTTCCTTCCTATCTCTGAATCCCTTCCCTAGCCTGGCCCCCTTCACTGCTGGGTCCTCTTTAGGAAAGCCAAAGGAGAAGGAAAGAGAAGGAAGAGAAGTAAAATGTCACCGTTTACTAATCTCTCACAAATGTTGAATAATAAATAGCTCGCCTTAGTTTATGAATTTGTAAATCCGCCTAGAAAAACATCGATGATTTAAGGCTAAAGACTCGCTGGTCCTCAAGTTTGGCCACATGTTGGACTCACCTGTAGAGCTTTTTAAAAATACTTTTGATTCAGTTGGTCTGGAGTAGGACATGAAAAATAATGTTAAAAAAAATTCCCCAGTAATTCTGATCTGGGACCAGAGTTGAGAACTACTTATAGCTTAGGTAAAATCCAAAACAGAAAGAACAATTTGGAAATAAACTGTGCTTCCATTTGCTCTTCAGTTCTAAGGCTTTTTTTAAATAACAGTGCCTTGACCAATGTATTGACACATGAAAATACAGACATACTGAACTCCATAATGTACTTGTGGATTTGTTTCTATAAATATTTACTGTAAATTGATTTTTCCGTACTTTAAATTCTATTACTGCATGCATTATCATTCCATAATTGAAAAAGTTAATCTTTTGGGGGAAAACATTGACTACAAAGCCCCTAGTGAAAATATAATTCCAAATTCCAGAAAAATGTTTAAATTAATTTTTAACTGTAAAAGTCACACATTCTAATTGCTAAAAAAATGAAGGATAGAACAATACAGAAGGTAGGAAGTAAAAAGTACTGTCATCTCCCCCACAACCACCTTTTGCAATCCCCCAAGTAACATCTGTTGAGAATTTCTTGGGCATCTTTCAGGAAAAGACTGTTTCACTTACTATAATAATAACTCTAAAGTTTAGTCCAAAATGTTATTTTAAAGTTCCTGTGGTTATTATTATGTTAGAAACAAGTTTAAGATCTAAATAAATGATTTCAAGCTGCAGAACTCTGGGATCTAAGAAGGTTATTGGGGTGAATAGGGTGGGGACTGGGGCCAAGACCCCAGGACCCCACCTGCTCCTTGTCCAGAGTTGCTCTGCTTTTCTCTATTTCATGCACTGGGCTTTTTGTAAGACTTTGTGGAACACCTAAATCCACTGTTTTATATAGTCTGATAGAATAGCAACAATGGTTTAAATGAACAGACAAATATGAACTCAAGTGACCACATTCTATTATTTCACATTCTATCTATCATGCTTCCTTATAATTTACTGCTAATAACCTATAGGCTCTCTATTTACTCTCCCACAAACACGTTGTAGAGGTTTATGTTAGAAACCAGAAAGAAAAGTACTGTAAAAACCTAGCACAGCAAAGACCACATTTAAGGACAAAATGAGCACATGAAAATCATGGGTAAGTAATCTATCATATCAAGCAAATTCAGGGGTATTTTATATGTAAGAGCCTTGATTTATAAATTCTGTAAACTCAACTTTCTGCATAATGAGCATCTACAGCCAGATAATACCTATTAAAAATCCATTGTTTTACAGAAGGGGAAGTGGAGATTAGGGAGTAAGTTATACATTTCTACCTCAAATTATTTGTGTGGAAGAAGTACAGTATAGCTGTAAGATCTGAGTCAGCCACTTGGTTTGCATTAAA